TGACTAATAAACACGGGAAGAAATAAAAAAGCTCACTTGAACAAATTGAAGTATGCGCTGAAGATGTAACCTAGTAGGGGGAAATGAAAGCTTCGCAAATTAACTATCCATCTCAAAGAACACTACCACATCAGTCTTGAATCCTGAGAAGAATCATTATATCGTTGTTGATGAATGATTTGAGTTTAATCTGTGCAGGGCACACCAGTTTCTTCATGGATTCAAAAAAGGTTTCCACTGTTGGCTAATTGTCATGTGGTTATATTTCATCGACTTTCTAAGTATTCTTCCCTAAATGCTAATCATTTTGATGACAGGCACTTTTAAAGTTTTCAATAACAAGTGTAACAGTTTGATAGGACTTAAGTATCGGCGGTATTCTAGCTATAATCTCGAATACTTCTTTATGGCTATGTATAAAGTAAGTTTAGAAGTCGTATGAAATATATTGATATGATGACTCTAAACAATAAAATCTGCTCAAAATATTATTTCTGTGTTATACCGAATAGTTAAGTGTTAACACCTTTTACAGAAACACCTAGAAAGGTGGGTATGAATCTCCAACGGAGCATCACCTCCTTCAAAGCCGCCATACTGACAATTAAGCTTGAAACCTAGGTCCAGACATTCCCGTCAAATGCCTCTAACCACCTAGCATCAGCTCTATTAGTACACCAATTATTTGAGACTAAATTGTAGAAGTGAGTTAACAGGTTGGGAAATTTACGTCAGACAAGTTAACCTACGTTGGTATTTCGCTTAGCTTAGCATTCATACTACACACTTGAGTGATAATTTTCTACAGTTGTGTATAAATGTCTGAAGAGTAATTGCTATTGGCAAGGTTGGTGTTCTTGTTGAAACAATATTGGGTTGTTAAGTTCAGTAGTATTACAGTTCAAGAGATTCCGTAAGTGATAACATGCATGAATATAGTACTAATTTGAATACCAGATAAAATTAAGTAGAAAATTGAAGAAACGATTAAAGACAGTTGAAATAAATAAATTATAATGTTAATTTGTAAATCCCTTAGGAGGAAGAGGAAATCGACAGATTTTTACGATTAAGTATTGATGACCAAGGTAGGGAAAGAGACTGTGCGTACTTCTTCTGAACACTTAAGTTTGGCTTCTTTAGATAGATTCCAATTTCTTTAACTGTATGTTAAAGATAAATTCCTGAAGTAAAATTAAGATCGGTTGGAATACAATAGATGACTTTTGAATTTTCTGTGTAACATCAACTTTATGTTGACTATCTACAAATTGAGATGAAACAGAGCTGCAAATAGACCTTGTTTGTCGGTGGTACAGTGGTTAGGACTCTCACCGACCATGCAAATGGTCTGGGGTTCGTTCCCCTACCAACACACACCTTGTATCAATGGTCACCCTACAAAATTTGGGCTACCGATATCACATGCTGAAAATTCCATACTTGTACCAAAAATACGGTGTGGAATCAAGCTATAATCAAAAAAATTTAAGCATGCAGTATAATGCTCAGAAATCTGATAATATAAACTTAGCTAACTGTACTTGCAATGCAACTAGCTCCACAGAAACAGTCTAAATGGGAATTTTCCCTATAATAAATTTCTACCTATATTTAGTACTGGAGACAGCTGTCCTATTTATCAGTTGGCAACCATTTTATGCGTATATATATCTGCCATCTAATCAGTACACGCATACTTAATGTATCCGAATACTACTTAGCCCACACAAACGATATTTACTCAAAACAGACTTAAAAGTAAAGGATAGGATATCGGATGCGTGGTGCCATTTAAGTGCAAAACATTTCCCATGCTCTGTTGCATGATATTTTTTGCATTTCATTGAAAATCCCCATTCTAACAGAAAAAACCAGTAGTTCAGCAAAGAGTCTTTTCTCGGCGAATTCATTTTCACAACTGTAGAATCACAAATATATATATATATGTATGGGTTATTTTGTATGTGTGTACATTAAATTTGTCAAACGAAAATACAATTAGTAAGTTCTTGGTGGAGTTACGTAATACAAAAGGCGTTCAGATGAATTGGATGTTGATATAAGAGGGTAGTAACAAAAGTGATGAATTGTCACAAACGATTGTTAAAGAAGAGTTACATAATAACATGAATAGTTTGATGATAGAGTTGTGCTCAGGATGTACATAGGAACGAAATAACATACGGAATTACGTAACAGTTTTAAGTAGTTATAAAAGCAAGCATACAAACAAAAGTTAAGTCACATCCACCACAGTTGTTACCATGATAGTAGAAGTGGCCGAATAATTTTCTTTTGTATGTATAGTTCTTGTTCTTCTAACTGAATGGCTACGGCTTCTGCAATGCAAAGAAGACGGAGACGTATTGTCTTTGGAAGGTTGTTCTTCACTTTCTAGATTACTTTGAAGGAGGCGTTTGTTGAGATGGAATGACCAGTGTTGACGAGATGTTTGATTATTGCACTGCTTATACGGTCACCACATGCTTTCTGCAGCCACGCTGGATAGTGTTCTTTGACCCTTTTTGACAGAATGTGCGTCGTGCGACCAAGGTATCTAGCTCCACAGCAACAGATAAACTGTTATACACATTTGGAAGTGGTCAGGGATGATATTTTTACGACAAAAGCAGAAGATTGTTTACAAACGTGTTAAATCATTTCTTTATGCATTGAATGAACAATAATCCAGCGGATTGATTCATATATATCGTGTTGTCGATTCCACGGATATTCAAGCCTTTTGATACAGGTGAAACTTAGTTGTAAACAACAAGAGCTACATTCGAACTCATTTTTTAAACCAATATTTAATTGTAAAGTTGATTTGTGAAGTATAGATATTATTATTATTTATTATTGTTCCCTTGGGTTCCTAGTGGAACATAGGGCTTCAACTACACGTCTCCACTTGTTTATGTCTTCTTCTGTACTTTTCATCTGCATCCATGTTAGTCCGTACTGTTTCAACTCCTCTTCACACCATCTCCTCCATGTCATCCTTGGACGTCCCACTCACCACTTCCCTTTCGGGTTCCACTCGAGCACTGGCCTGACGCGCGATGTCACCCAGCGGCCTCCTCAGCTCAGCTAGTGTCCAATCCATCTCCACTTTCGTTTGTCTGCTGACAATAGTGAGTGAGTTGACAGAGTCAATACCATGTCCGTGGTCTATAGGATACTTTGTTACTGAACATCTTGGTACTTTGACTTCTGCTGTTTCTAACCGCTTTGGCAAATGCTTCATCATGCGATTAGACAATCACCTTACTGTACGTCCTATGTATTTGCTCCTGCAAACACACTCAAATTGATTTACTCAGGTTGAAGTGTAAAGGCTTGTTGACAAGTCTTCGTTTAAAATAAGCAATAAAAGTTGATAAAGTATGATTTAATGAATTCATCAAATTTCGGTAGAACTCCTCTTCAGCTAAATACTCTACATACACGGAAACATATACTTCTGAAATTTCATTGGGAGATATAAGACTGATAAGCGAATAAACTAGATTGAATTAGTCATGCAGAAAGACAGGTGCGAATGTTTTCCAGGTCATGTTCAAACAGATAAGGGAAGAGGGAGTATGAGAGATCAAAATGAAGATAAAATGCATTACGCTTCAATTACATCTTTTAGATAAACAATTAGTCATTAGAGAATATAACAAGAATTGCAAACAGAGTAATATCAATAGTAATAGTTATAGTAACAATAATAATAATGTTGAAGTGAGTTAAGATAATGCTACTGATAAAGGATAGTTTTAAACGAATCAAGAATAATAATAAGAAGTAGAATAATAAGTAAAACGTGTTAACATGGTAGATTCAGAGTCACGACCATCTCCTTTTGTACACAGAGACCTGGTTTATAAACTCGAATTGCACAAGCCTCTGCAATTGGAAGCATCTTCCTGTTTCTTTGTCTGCTGACAATAATGAATGAGTTGACAGAGTCGATATCATGTCCAAAGTCAACAATTTGTTTTGTTATTGAGGTTTTCGGTACTTTGCTTTCAGCCGTTTTCAACCATTTTGGCAAATGCTCCATCATGCGAGTAGACAATTACCTTTCTGTACGACCTATGCATTCGCTTCCACAAACACACTCAAATTTATATGCGCAGTTTGAAGTGTCGAGGATTGGCAACTCGTCTTTCCAGATTAATGAAACACTCGCTTAGTGGTGTTAAGGATAACAAGTTTTACAGCAGAATAAGTTTTCTTGATGGCTTTATCGAGTCTTCGTTTGACTACTTCCTGTACATCATCTCCTTTGAATAGCAGGTTCATAAAGACAGGTTTCTTCGGAACTGTTTGGACTGTTTTGCAGGGGCTAATTTCTTTAGAGTATTTATTAATGAACTTCTCAGGATATCCCTTATCTATTTGAACATGACCTGGAAAACATTCGCACCTGTCTTTCTGCATCACTAATTCAATGTAGTTTGTTTACTTATCAGTCTAAAATCTCCCAATGTAACTTCAAAAGTATATATATCCGTGTATGTAGAGTATTCAGCTGACGACTTCTACCGAAATTTGATGAATTCATCATTAAATTCTGCTTTATTAACCTTTGTTGCTTGTTTTAACTTCGTATCGGGAAATAAATGTTTTCAAGTCTTCGTTTAACAAAGACGAGATATAGTTATCAGAAAATCTTAATGTGCTGCAAAACACTTGTTCCTTAACATCACAAAGCAAGTGTTTCGAAATCCTGGGAAAAGTCGGTTCTACTCACAGCCGACACACTCTTGATACCTCACTTAGTTTGCTAGGGGCTGATAAGTCCAGGAAAGGAGGGACAGCGCCACCGACACCAACATCATGGTTGCTGCAGCTTAAGGAGTGCAGCCCTATTTCCCACTGGCAACAGAAATGAATGGAAATAGATGATTCCTTGTAGTAAAATGTATTGTTTTTAGATGAAATCAATTTCTTTCTTCATCTTACCTTCATACAACACCTTTCCATCTCTTCTTTCCCAAATACAGATGTGATACTCCTTATGTAATCAAAATATTCAACTATCGAATCCAGTCTACTTCTATAAATCAACCAACATTTTCTAAAAATTATTTATTCCCAAGAATCAATCATAAATCTAATGAAATATTCAATAGTAATAATAATAACAATCACAATCAATTTGTGAATGGATTGAAATCAGAGGAACAAGTAACTATCTGTTTAGGATCAACGCTGGATATTGATTTAAACAGAGCTATTTACATGTCTGGTTATATTCCACGCATGAATATATTACTCTATAGGAATAATTTTACTAATGGCGGACAGTATAATCGACCAATGACAAGCCCCACCTACTCACCGTCATCCTCAGCATCGCTGTCAGCATCACATTTATTATCCAAGTCACAGTTAAAATCTCCTTCAATGTTCAACAAATATTCATTTATAACATATGACATTGAATATAGATTTGTATATGGTGAGTTTTTGAATTTGAATTATTGCTTTTATTTTTTAATAATAATAATGTACTTTATTCCAAAAACAGTACTTATAACACAGAATAGAATTTTGATTACACACTAGTCAGTAGCTAGTGTAATGTGTCTAGTCCTATCCTCGGTGCAGACTGAATTCTATCAGTCATGTTTACAATGTGGCCACCATGCTAGGTGGCTCACCATTACGGTGCACTGTGAATTGTTGGTATTAGATGGTTGGAGGCAGTCGACAGGAAGACTTGCTTGACCTAGGTTTCGTGCTAGTTGGCACTCATCAGCAAGGCGTATCTGCAACCTTGAAGGAACTGATGTCCCTTCTGAGATTCGAACCCGCGTCACCCAGTGCTACAGTCAGTCAGAGACGTTACCACTGAGATATTCAGGCTCGCGACTGACCTCCTGTAGGACTGTATTGGATACTTTTGATTGATTACTTTTGATTGATTCAGTCGCGAGCCTGAATATCTCAGTGGTAACGTCTCTGACTGACTGCAGCACTGGGTGACGCGGGTTCGAATCTCAGAAGGGACATGAGTTCCTTCAAGGTTGCAAATACGCCTTGCTGATGAGTGCCAACTAGCACGAAACCTAGGTCCGAGGCTTCCTGTCGATTCCCTCCAACCATCTAATACAGAATAGAATTCTCAGCATTTGTCACAATATTGCATCTGATTTAATCAAAATATAAATAAAAATAAAAACAAAATTAACTGGAGGAATTTGTCCACATATACTATATTAAGTCAAAACTATTCGAAGCACGAATTGAGATTATTAAATATAATAATAATAATAACAGTGAGGTTGTTTCAAACGGTATTGTCGATTCAGTTTGGAAACTTTAGCATGTTTTAGATTACTGGATCTAATGTTCTGCTGATATAGTGTAGTGAGGGGAAACACAAAATTAACAGTTATAATACAGCTTAAGTTATGTCCACACTTATGAAAGAAAAAAAATAAACAAAAACAGAAATTGAGAGGATTATAAGTATGAGAAATACAATAACAATAAAGTTTGATGCCGTAAAAGTGGAGGCAATGGTTTATTTACTAGTGCAAAGAAGGTTAGTTAGTTCATGTCTAACACTATTTTCATCACATAAAGTACCTGCTAAATATGGTATAGCGGAATTTTTATACTTAGATGTACGTGCATAGTCTTCTGAAAAGACTTCTAGTTTTACCTGAGGAGACATAAGGTTGGAGCTGCGGATAAAGTGGGTGCTCAGAGTCTGAGGAAATTCCTTTAGCGAGTTTGTTGCATGACATCAAGTGTCTATCAGTGACAATGTCAACGATCTGGGCCAATAGGATACCGCTCGTTCTACTGACAGTCTTCAGAGTTCTACGAAGTAAGACAGCTTTTTTAAGCAATCTGGGGAAGAATAAGCAAGGGTGAACAGTAAAGAAGAAAAGGCAAGATGCACGAGTTTACAAACTGTAAGAAGAGAGTTTGAGTTATGTCTAAGTGCCTTAACTTCTTAATGTAAAAAGTCAGACGAAATATTCTTTCAGAAATCGCTAAGACATGGGAAGACCAGGATAGATCAGAAGAAAGAATTAATCCAAGATACTTAACTTCAGACTGGGTTTCTATATCAGTACTATCAATTTTGCAAGGACCATAGGAACCAACGGCTTCATTTATTGTTGGTAACATTCTAAATTTCCCACGAAGTGAATATATATTCTGAACAATTTTAGTGTTTGAATCAATGTACTGCTAGGCATCACCGAACTGAGTTGTCTGCAAGATTTCAACTTCCTGAAATCTGGCGGCCTGCCTAGATCACTGGGCTAGTTAGCTTTTAATCCATGCATAGACTCTTCTCCATTTCTGATTGTATTAATCGTCTAACTGTGTTTTTGGATCAATGCATAAGGTGCCTCTTCAGTAGAATTCAACGAATATGCACTGAAGACACACTTGATGAAGAAGAAAGAAAGTTGACACAAACTTTGGTTGATAACAATTATCCAGACAAGTTCATCAGGAGATATAAAGTAGTCAGTGGAACACCAAGACCCACTCTCCAACTCGCCCCTAAGAAAGACGTGTACATCAAGCTACTTACCCTATATGGGGCATCATAGCAGCTTGATAACTAGATAAAGCCTAAATGTTAAAACACTAATATCACAATAATTGAGAATGTGAATCTAATATATCTATCCAAGCCCTTTGAAAATGCGAAAAATAATGTCACATCCCACTCTGTTTATCTGTTTGAATGTACGTGTGGCCATACACACATCCATAGGGAGGACTCATCGATCTCTGCGAGTAAGGGCTGGTTTCAGAGCATTTTCCTAAATGGCTCCAGAAACAAACAGAATCTACGGAACCTATTAATGGTGAGAACAGGAGACTTAGCTCCTCTATTGCGAAACATATTATAGAGACAGGACATAAAATTGACGTTAACACATCTTTTAAACCTATCTATAAAACGTGTTTGGCGTGTATCCTAAAGTTCGTGGAAGCCCTAGCTGGCAATTAGGAAGTTTGAAACACCTTTGTGCGTTCAAAGCAAAAACTCGTCATCACATTAAACCTTCCTTGGTAAATTTTGTTTTGATACCAGGCAGGGTAGATGTACTATTACCTCTGTTATTTGGTTTAGTGATCTTCATTGTTATTTTGACCTTCAATATGTCCTTTTAACTTGACCTAACTTGTCTATTTTCTCACCTCTTAGCTCTTTTAGTTTGCAGTAATGCAGAACACTTCTCAACAGAAATGAGGAAAAAATATCGTAGAGATTTGGATAGTGCTTCAGATGGAACAGTACACTGTCATACGACGTACTGCCGAATACCATTTCACTTGAAGATCTTAGTGTCTCAAGGACCAGTATGTAGCTCAGACGAACAGTCATAGATTTCATGAATTGATTCCACGTCTTGGTTTGATCACTTCTTACTCTTTTTTGAACCCGATCCGATGTGAACTAAGACTGCTTGACATGCAAGGCGTAACGCATATCTCAGTTATGTCAATCGATGCAGCTTTACAGCCTGATTGATTGACTTTCCCTTGTTACCTGACCTTTCATGAATTTGTTATCACATAACTCCTCCACCATTACAAAGGTCGTCTTCAGTTGTGTTTCTACAATACCTTCTCATTTTGTTTATTTACTCGTCTTAACTACGAACAAGTCATCCTATGACTAGAGACCATCTTTAATTATTTTTAATTATTGAAATTCAAGTGTTGGTTTGTAGGGATTTGATTGGTTACAGGACTTCATCATGAGCTGACATAAGTTAGAGAACCATTGGAAAACCTGGGAGTACTGGACAGCTGTTTCGTCAACCTGGTTTGGGACTCTTTATTAGTACGTACCCAACACCATGGTTCGAACCCAGGACCTTTTGGTTACAAGGCCAGCAAGTTTGTAGACCATTAAGCCACTGGGACCCAATCCAATGGCCAGTGCATGAATTCTAACTTCTGACAATTCACGACATAGCGCGATCATGAAAATCCTGTAACCAATCAAATCCCTACAAACCAACACTTGAATATCAATGAGATGCTCACTAGCCACTGACCCTACTCAGGTAGGTAGTTACCTGGGGTTCTAGTGAGAAGCTATGACCAGTAGGGTGCAGCAGGTCGGGTGTGAGGACAAATACTCGCCGAAGACATTGGCTAGCGGTCGCGCTATGTCGTGAATTGGCAGAAGTTGGAATTCATGCTCTGGCCATTGGATCGGGTCCCAGTGGCTTAATGGTATACGAGCTTGCCTTGTAACCAGAAGGTCCTAGGTTCGAATCTCGGTGGATGTGTACTGCTGAAGAGTCTCAAACTAGAACGAAACACCTGTCTAGTACTCCCAGGTTTTCTGATGGTTCTCTAACCAATGTCAGCTCATGATGAAAATCCTGTAACCAAATTATCGAAATGTTTAGTATTAAATCAAATTATCAAGAAGCCCCACTCATCAACAACTAGTCAAGGCCGCCATCAGAGATATGAAATTAGAAATTCTGCAGTTAAAATACCTCAGAGACAATTGACTTATGTACGGCTAAATTATGAACACAAGTCGGCTAGAGTATATAGCAAGCAGTGAAGCTTTTCACAGATTGGTATCATTAGTGATTGAAAGGGGTAAACCCTGAGTGCTTAACACAAAGTATGGCACAACACAATATTCTCTCCTTTTCTGAGGGGATTTCATTTAACACCCGATTAACGAAATTCAACTAGCATCAAAAAGGTAATTGATATTTTGATTACCATCAGATTATCGATTTTCACTCAAACAGATTCACTGAATGCCCACACGTTCCAATCCTCCTGATGAATTAATGCTGCGCTTCCTAGAGATACAAAATATATGACAACTTATACGAAAATTCAGTGCTTAAGGTAATTTAACAAGCTATTTCGGCCACAGACGTCATACTCACATCAAGCGGCTGGAGACAGTTGACAGAAAGTTCACAACTTAGGTTTCGTACTTATTGTTACTCATCGGAAAGAAGTAAGTGTACCTTAGGATACATTAATAGTTCCTTAAAGATGTGAATGAGAATCACAGGTATTACCATTAACCTATTCAGGCGGGGATATGTCATGCTGACGTTTATTGATAAGTTCAAAACTTATATCCATAACATCCCCATAAATGTCTCTAATCGTCGCATATAAATTAAAAGTGTACCCCGATCATTATTTACTTGGCGTGGTGACTTCGTCACAAGCATAAATAATGAATGTAGCTTAGCGCCAAGAACTTGACAAAATGATAGTGCCTCCTTCTTGCAGCCACTCTACGTATCACATTCTCCTGCAGACAGTTAATCCAGTCTAACGCTAAGGACAAAATACCGCTTTTGGCCACCTCAATGTGTATTTATCAATCTACTTGCTCGTGTGGAGCAAAGTATATCAGCCGTACGCAACGTCAAGTCCACAAACGTATTCTGGAACACTGCCCAGCTTGGTTATCCAGAGGAGAAA